CTTCCTTTGAGTCCGTCTGTTCATCGGCAACAATACATTCAAAATACCCTCAGCTGTTCCAACCAAATAAATTGTCAGATGATCATCTATAGTAGTATAAACACTGAATTTTTTTCCTGAAATATATTTTCAGTACGGTATGTCTTTTGTTCCTAGATTGTATTGCAATTTAATTATTTTGGCCTCTATTTAATTGGCATCTATTCATGATATTTTTTGTTCATATTAGAGTGCAGTAGTGTAATATTTTCATAGGTTTTTTTTATGCTCATAGTGTTTAGCGTTATTTATTTAAGGAGTATGCCTTATTTCGTTGCAGTAGACTATTTATTTGAAAAATTAAAACTAATTCGTCACAGCATTTTTTTTTTAACCAACACCTACACATCAACTATAGTACAAATAAATGGGCAATTTGTGCCTACATCCATAACAAACTCCCTTGTGTTGCTTAGTCTATGCTACATCTCATCAACCTGAACCAGTTGTTTTTTTTTTTTCAAAATCATTTGCGTATTCAAATTGTGCTGCTGATAGCTCATACGAGGCACATATGATTAAACATTTTCACAATATTTAAGATTTTAGGTATTCATAATACAATTTTCATGTATTCATTCAGTATTAACTCTTATCACTATCTGATAAGACATCGCAGGTCCGAACGCCCACATGAATCATTTGTCTACCATTAACTTTACCACACGCACTACGAACGTTACCTCTTAGCCTAATTAATATGCCTAATAAACAGCTGACGCGTGACCCTGGTCTATCCGGTTGGAACCAGTAGCGATGGAGGAACACGTGGAAAAAAGGGATGAACCACATGTCGTTATGTTGAGACCACAGAGCAATAAGTCATAGAGTAGGACGACTTGATGGCAAGATGTGTTTTGCATGTGTTGGGAACTATCTAATGCAGAGGAATGTTTGTAATCTACTTTGTGTATTGTTTTGTTATGAGATCTTAGAAAAGTGACATGACTGAACAGTTTTATTATGCATTTATCTTCAGATAGACAACCATCAGTACCGTTTAATAGAAACTTGAAGGCCAGTAAATTTACCACATGCTGTAATGTTGTGTTATAACATTGAATATATACCCTATGGTTGTAAGCTGAGCTACAGAGGTGTAATAAGTAGTGTTGGGTCAATAGTGCCATGACAAGTTTCTCCATTAACATTTAAAAGTGCAAGTAATAGACTCATCTTATTGTTAAGATATGACGCTCGGTTTTTAGTGTTTTACTTTTGCACCGTACTACGTTTTAGAGCATTTAAGCATGGTTTAAATCAAATAACATATGCTGGTGTGTATTTAAAAATATTTCTTAATACTAGGGTACAAACTATGATTAAAAACCATAGTTTATAAGTTAATGTATCTATAAGAACTCAGGCAACAAAAAAGGTAAAATCTAATGTAATTCAAGTCTTGAAACTGGGCTGGGCTAGCAAAACATAAATAGTTCCAAAGTTGAATAGACAACCAGAAGCAAATAGTCCTCTATTATCTGGACAGAAAGATACTTTAAAACTGTCCTCAGCTGATCCATTAAGATTATAAATAGAGAACATGTTTGATTTAAACTATAGTTTCTCAAATGTAGACAAATGTCGTGTAGGCCTGTGATCAATTTTTCGTAGGGTCGTCCATATGTTCGAATGTTGAAACCTCCACAGAGTAATAACTCAAGAAGTCATCAGCCATAATTAACGGCGTGTTCAGATTTGCTAAATTTAAGTTTTTATATTGTTTTATTGGAATCAGTCCAAAAACATCAGTTTGCCAGCATAGATATTTTATTTGAAATTTGTGTGGTCTAGCTTAACACTACACTGGGATTTGTTTGTAAAAGCAGTCTAAAACATCAATTAAACACCGTTATCAACTTCTATTTTAGGCAATTTACGACTCATTTTTCATAACAACTTTTCCTGAATGGTTCGTGGTAAATTTTCTAGCCTGCAGTGAGGATTGGTTTTTATTTTGTAGCTCTACTGCTCGCCTGGTAATCAAAAGGTTGCCGGTTCGATCTTGAGAAAAGTGTGTAGCTTTTAAATGGGTTGAAAGTGGGTTACCAACTGGTCGTTGATCATTGGGCTTTGAATAAAGTGATCTTGATTAATGAAACAGCTGGTCTTAGTCAGTAACTAAGCTACACAAGGAATCACACTCTATTATACACTCATCCTTCACTCATATTTTGGTTAAAATACGCATATAGGTGGTTGTGGCGTCCCCACATCATATGCTAATGGTGATGGTAATGCACAACCGATGCACATTCTCAACCATAGTAGGCCTACACAAGTCTGATTTGTCATCACTGAAGTATGCGCTATTGGTCAGTTGGATGATGGCCAATAACTAGCCCAAGACCAGATAAATTATTGGAATCTTATCACTGACCTGCTAACCTCGTTCTCTACTGAATGGTAACCAAATGAACCAGTGCTGAACCAGTTTTGGCTCAAACTGACCACTTTTAAAGTTTTTATTCATCTTGGCTTTCTAAATTGGGTTAAGGTGTAGCCATACCTAATGTACAATTGCAGAAAATCTGCGATATTGTAAATTGGCATTTTTTTACATTACTTGATAGTATACAGTAGTACAGTACATTCATATAACTCGAAAAGACAATCCCTTTACATGTTCCTAGTCCTTTGCATCCGCCACCCTGCATCGTCACAACGGACCCCACGTTCAACTTTCATCAGGCATAGTTGACAACAAAAACGTAAAAATATTAAGGCATTTACTTCTTCTCAGTGAAGAATCGTATAGAATTAGTTTAGTAGAAACAATCCAGTTTAAATTTAGCAGATATAGATTTCCCATTTACGAAACAAGCTATTGCCGTAGAAGAACCTGACTGACCGTTTGCACAATATCCATGTATTGTAAAAGTAATTCGATTTCGATAGCATTTCGTACAAACGTGTAAACCTGTTTATTCAAATGATCAAACGAGGTGTTATACAGACAAATTTTGGTTTTTCCGCACTTCGCAATTTTTTTAGACAGATTTGTAGGGATAAAAATGCAAATAATTTAGTATAATGAAGCTTTGTTGTACGATTAATGTTTACGAAGAAAGTGTCATAAAACTGAAGATAGGCCTTATAAAATTTCCGTGTTATCTTTGTAAATAATAAACTGTTGTAGTTGGCTTGTTTTTATGTGTATTTTAATGCAATATGGCATATCTATTTATTTCACTCTGCTATTGAAATGACACTAACTCCCCCCTTATAATATTCCCTATAGAGGCAAACTTAAAAACTCGTTAATCCTACAGTAATTTGGTATATTCTAACAGTGAATAAATCAGAAATATTTAAGGAAATATTTGTAAAAATCCAATCAGGCAAATGAAAATTCGCTTTGTCTGATGATTTGTTGTGATGTGGGTTTACAATTTACAACATTACTTGATACAGTATACTGTATTGTCAGTACGTAACGGCTTGGACGAGTCTAAACAAATTAAACATCACCGTGCATTTGTCGGTCTCATAATACTTGTATTTATTTGGTGTAAGATGTAGGCCTAGTTAAGAGCAAAAATAAAAAGTACCACAAAGCCACTTGATATTTGTAAATACCACAAAACACTTCCTGTAAATGACTCTAATTTTCAGGTGTGACAAATGAACAGTTTTGGGAGGGGTTGTGTTTTTAATGTTGCCGTGACCCATTCCTTATCTTCTCTTATCAGCCATACAGACTCATTCATATATGCAAACTGGATGTAGCACGCTCAACTATGCATGGCCGCACTCTTGTTTTATTATCACTTTACTGTCAGGGAGTAAATAGTGTGCAAAAACAACTAGGTATGTAATGAAAAGTGGTGACTTTGAACCAAGTGTACTTTATGTAGTTTTCTTTTCACACATTTTGTTTGTTATTATCTTATTCTTTAGGTAATGCGAGAAAACCATATAAAATGATTACACGTTTGAGAAAAGTATATGAAGTAATAGGGTTACCTGTAATTAATGCAGTGTAATAAATACAGCCAAATACTCAAAAAGGTGTATGAAAATCGACTTAAAATTCAGGGAAAGTATTGCAAACTATTAAATCCATTTGCAACAAAGGTTTTTGATGTAGTCAAATAACTAAACCTTGTCAGTAATATTTTTTTCTCAAAATGAATGTAGTGAAGTAAATAGTTGTTGTTTGAAAGTGTTCGCTACTTGTCTTCCACCTTCAGTACTAAGGTTTTAGTACTTATGTCGTCTAGATTCGCAAGAGTATTTAAATGCGTAAATTGGAGTTGGAGCGTATGTTGAATGGAAGGGCGACTACGAGGTGGCCCTAGGCCCTTCTACTGGATTATTATTGTTTATTGTGCAATTGCTAGTTTTTAGGGATTATAAAAGTATTATCAAAGGAAATATTTCCTATTTTTGGTTTATTTTATTTTATGCAAAGAAGGGAGGGTTAAAACGCCCAACCTCCTGATTATGCCTTGGAGATAGATTTAAGTACATTACTTATGGCCCTTATGCGAGGGCAAAGCAGAACTGAGGCGATTTTGTTCGCATTAACATAAGTAAGGTAATCTATTCCTTATTTGAACAATATGCTATTCAATATTTTAACTGACGATTTCATCGCCATTGAAAAGGGATGTACAATAATAACTAAGTTACATTACTTATTTACTAAACTCGAACATGCAAATAAATTCTAATTTTTTAACAAAAAATCATGAGTAAGCTAAAACACACATAAAATGTAATGAAAGAAAAACTAAAACTCAAAATGATGCTCAGGAGTTTCTGAAAAGCATACAAGACAATGAAAACTTTTTGATAGTCCTCAACGGTGCAGCATCACTGATCCTTTTTAACCTCAAAATCTGTTAACTTGTATGCAAAATTCGTAGCCGCAACATTGGTAACATTGCACCACAGGTGTGCCACTACCACCGCATGTTCAACTCAAGGTCAGCCAACTCAAACTTTTCAAACTCTACCACTTGGTGCGGGCCCGCGAGAGTGCGTTATCCGCGTTGAAACTCACGCTTACGCGCTACGCCGTCTACGCGTGTGTACAACTGGATACATAAAGAGTAAGTTCAATAATATACGTTTGAATTGAGGGAAAATATTATTGCCTAAATTAAGTTCCTTACACCAATGAATTTTGTGGTTTTATTAGACATGTTTGTCAAAAAAAAAATTAATAATAGAGAATGTTGTTAATTGATTAACTAAATGATTCGGCACCAATGTTTTTTATGATGATAAACATTTTTTGTATTGTAGTGTAGAGAAAGCACGGCAAAGCAGGTGACGACAGTATTTAAAAAAAATAAGTGTTATCTAAAGTAGAACAATATAAACGCTATTGGAAACAAAAAAATATTGCGATCCTAAAGTAGTAATGACGAGAATAATGGGTACGAATACTTTGTTAGGACGTTTGTCTTATCCATTGCAACTGCAAATGTAATGAAAAATAATATATTGTTAACAAGGCGTGACCACAGAGAGCTAATCATTATCATGCCTCTGACCAGTTATAATTTTGGTAAAGGAATACTTTCGGAAAACGCTAATGACATATACGAACCTCTATTCGTTTCGATTACTGTAATCTTAACACCTCCTGAATCATATTCATTTTAATGAGGTTTTTTGGAGCAATTCAAGCGATTAAAAGGAGGGCGTTTTTATTCGATTGATTATATCCAAATTAGACTTTTCTTGTAGAAAAATATTTCGTATTTTAATCATGGGATTTACTAGTAAGCATATAAATCTTCAGTTCATAATATATAGCTTGGTATTTAGTATATTTTATTGTTTATTTTGCCATTTTTGTTAGTACTGGCCAATAAATCAATAATACCAAAATTACACTAAATTATCTACACCTACAGCCCCAATACATGACACATAATTAACTTTAAATAGATTAAATTAACATTCCACTTCTTAAAATGAACTATAGAAGTTTCTTTCAGAAGTTGAGAAGTGGAACCATAATTTCTCACGATTTTTATTTTCTCACACATTAAAAATTCTGCACATCATGAGAAACATCATTGTCCATTATTTGGTAATTTCACATGTATTTCATGTAAAACTTTCACACATATTTTATTCAAAACACACAACATATAAAAATCTTAACACTCTTAGCTCAATTCGATTATCTTTGAGACTGATTACAGGTCATCGCTAGAAACACTATCGAATCAGCTGATTGTTGTAAAGCGGTGAATAGATCGCATAATTACTTAACCAGGCCATTGTTGAGACTGAATGGACCGTACCATTTGCAACCATTACAGCACCCAGCTACACATTGCTGTACGTTGCGAGTTTGTTTGGCCAATGTTTACATTGTATCCGTGTCGGAATTATGTTTTACCAACAACACGTAAAGTTGGTTTTATTGCTCACTTTTCTGAGCATCTGCCGGTTTGTTCCCGAGCAAGGTAGCTTTTTCTAGTACAAAAGTTATACGTGGTACCTTGATCATTGGGATTGAAATTGATTGTTGTATAAAGAAATAGCTTTAAAACAGCTGTTGCACCAATAAAGAAGCATCTGTGCAATTTTTTTTGTTTACATATATGTTACTAGCTGGCCCGACAGACGTCGTCCTGTCCTAATGTGGTTTTATGTCAATGCTCGTTCATTTTCAAGATGAGCTCCTTCGCATGGCTTAATCACGTCCTGGTTGAAGTTCGAGAGCTCGTTCGCTGCGCTCACTTGCCTTCAAGTTAACTCGTTCGCTACGCTAACTCGCCTCCAGGTTGAAGTTCGTTCGCTACGCTCACTCACCTTTTGGTTGCAAATTAGCTGTTGTCATAAATAAATAAAAAAAATAATAGTGCTGCACCCTGTTGGCAAACCTATTAACTTTTTAATGATATTGAACATCGCAGAATCAAATTGTTAAGTTGAACCAGCTGTTGAGATTCTTTAATTCCATTTAAATATGAGTACTCATAAGGTTAACATGGGAAACTCCAGAGCCACTGGGGCGGAGCCCTATTGACGGATCTGCACCAAACTTCACACAAACCATCCTTGAATAATGCTTAATAATGCCTAAAAGTTTCATTACAATCTGTCTAGCGGTTTTGGAGCCCATAAAGGACAAACATACAAACATACATTGGATTTTATATATATAGAAAAGAGGTGCGGTGAATGGACAGTGAAGCTATTTGTAGCTGTTTGATACAAGTGAGTGATTAAAGGTTTTTGAAACACGATAAATATGAGATTAACAAACCATGTATTTTGTTCGTTCCAAGAGGTTGTCACCAATCTTTAACAGGTCGAAATTTCATTGATAGGTATTAAAATACGTATTAAAGTATTAAAGACGTCGTGAAAGAGAGCGGCGAGTTCAGGTACAACCGTACCCACCTCGGCCACCTTAGGACGTAAGGTATGAAGGTTCCACTGCTTTTAACATCCTTTCAGATAACCATTTCTCGAACTTGGGCCCTTTAAATGAAATATAAAGTAAAAGGTGATTAAATTAATTTAACGGTGGCTTATGTACACCCGTGAATTCGTGGGTAGAACCTCTTGTAGAATATTAATGATAAGCACATGTTACTAATATAATGTTAAAATAGTTGGCAACTACAGGAGCTCTAATCTTTAAAAAATAACGCTAGGCCTATATAGTTTTCAAATCAATGATCCAGTAATGTAAACGATTTATCGTACATCTCAAACTTCTTCAGACCGTATCATTCGAATCTTAAACTCATAGAAACACTACATGAAGTCAACTTGAATTTATCTATTTTGCAAACATATTCTTTTATGTTTATTTTACAAACCACCTTTTGAATCATGAAACTCAAAAAATCGCTAAAACTCTGGATAAAACGATTAGGAAACAGGTAAAGTTAGGCTAAAAGCACTGCCCACGTTCAACTAACACTTATAACCTTGTATCATATTTACTAACTGATAAAAGGAGTACTGTCGCAACTGTACATTGATTCTGCACTTAAAGCAATGCTGTTTTGACTCAGCACTCAAACAACAGAAGTGTTTATTAAGTGCACTTGTTTTATCACTACTTGATGTTTATATTTAAGCATGCTATTCATGTACATGCAGTGATTACACTACAGATTATTAGTGACTAAAGTGAACCTTAGTCATTGAAGATTAGGATAGTGCAGTCATGTTTATTTTTTAAGTATTCATCATAAAACATTTATTTTCTTATACTAACTATGCCAAAGTCTTTATTATGAGTATTTCGCTCGTTCGGGTTTTAAATTAAAATACTAAGACTGTCGGGAATCAACCCAAGGTTCACTAAGTCAGCAAACTATAAATCAGTGATTATAACCTCATATAAGGTGCATACTTTACTAGTCTAACAATAAGTACATTTTAACACCAGGGTCTAAGCTCATGTTTAATGAATAAAGCAAAGCATACAAGGTTGGGAAGTGAACAATTGACGAGAAGATACTTTGTATCTGTGACATTAACTATAAGTTTCGTCTTGCCGTGCCATTTTTCTATTCGTCTAGATTCTAGCTCGGTTTTTATTCTACATTAGCTAAGTCTAGGGGGCACAGCATGATCACTTAAATAAAGTCCATTGGTGATTGGCGGGATTTGAACACGGTATCTTGAGTACCGAAGTTCGGCGCTCTACCACTACCAGCTCACTCCCCAGTGTAGCCTTAGTAGGGCTGTCTAATTCATACGACGAAAATAGTGTATAGTTTATATCTTCATAAATTAATACCAGAACTTGTTGCAACTATGTATTGCCTTGTAGACAAATGCTGTTTCTAAAAGTATTCAAGTAATTAATTTGCCTTTTTTGATAGTTTAAACTTCAAATAAAGTCAGCTGCGTCAGATATTACTCCACCAACTCAATCGAAATTAAAATTCAAGTCAATGTACCGTGTTATTTTTTTAATTTGCCTAAAAATATCAATTAAAGGGATAATTTATCCTACATAACCAACGATAAAACAAATTGAAACAAATTCGAAAAACTGTATGATACGATATAAAAATGTCTGTTGTTTTCTAAGAATGTATTATTTTAGGGTGTGATACAACTTTATCGGTTACTGTATAATACTTCGACCAGAGAGAGACGGGTTCATTCTTAAGTATATATTCTAAAAAAAGTTTGACTGATCAATTTCTTTTACACGTCTTTGGTTACTTTATTCTTTAAAATGCCCCTACAGCAGACCAAAAAAGCGGTCTTGCAAGACTTGTTATGTACGACGAACGTTTGAAATTTTAATTTATAAATCCTATTTATAGTTGTGAACAAGTTTGCCTAACGATGACGAAAGTAGACATGAGTAGTAGCGCTCCTAGCAAGATAACACGTTCAGTTGAGTTAGTTAACATTGTTTACATATGTTTAGTATGTCTACTCTTCGCTAAGTGTTGTTTGCATTTGCAGTTGTTGCCAACATCTCGGTGCGGTATGAATGGCCTAACGTGTTGTTTTATAATATGATGTATAGATAAATATATGTTTATTTGATCACATTATATAGCATGCAAAAGATCTTGTCAAAAAAGCTTACTAGCAATGAAAGTTTTATTTGTTAGAGCGAAGCGTTGGTGATCCAGAATACCTACACGAGTTTTTCTTACGATTTTCCTTAAGATTATTTCGTCTATCTATTAAACAATGTTTCAAAATCTAATTAAATAGTTATTTGTGTAACTAGTGTGCGAAGTGACATTTTGCACTCGCGTTACACATGATATTATCCTACAATTACTATAAAGCAAATAAATAATTAGTCTTTCAAACACTATGCCACACGTTTTTAGGTTACGTTCAACATTGAACGAAATGGCAAACGCTGCACTCAACTGATCGTAGTCGTAATATTTTTAAGGGTTGCCAACTTATTTTCAAGCGTACACGCATTACGTGCCTAATAAAAGGACATGTTTGGTGTTGTTTGATTGGAATACTGGAGTGCGGCAAAAAGAAGAGTGCTGCAAAATAAGTGAATACAGCAATTAGCTACTTGTCGTGCTATAATCAGTGCAAGGAAGCCCACTTTGTCAGGTAACTGTAGGGAAAAAACCTCTTCGGTAATAATAAGTCATAATGTACCCTACCACCTTTCATGGAATGAGATTAATCTCCGTACCTGGTTCATAAATGTAGTTAGGCTCATTTCTGACATTTAAACACATTGGAAATTTGCATTTGTCAGTTGTAAAATTAAAAAAACTCAAGCCTAATAATAAAAATTTGAACGAATGGTGTTTTTGGCCTCTGGGGACATTAAAATGAAAAAGTAAATCGGTCCCGGGCCTAAGTCTTACCATGAGACCTACGGTAATAGCTACTTCCCTATAGGGAAATTCGCTAAAATATAATAAAATGGTAATCAACGAAACACAACCTACAAGTGACTAAGAATTGCTTTAAATCGCATTTAGCTGGTCTATTTGACACGATCCTCGATCATATTCCGTTAGAAAAAAAACATGTACAGTTATTTTGTTTTCTAGAAGAAATAGAAGATTAATGATAAAAAAGCACATGTTACTAATATAATGTTAAATTAGTTGGAAACTACAGGAGCTCTAATCTTTAAAAAATAACGATAGACCTATATAGTTTTTTTAAACAATGATCCAGTAACGTAAACGATTTATTAGTACATCTCAAACTTCTTCTGACCTTTTCATTCGAATCTTAAATTCAGAGAAACACTGCGTGAAGTCAAAATGCATTAAACGATTTTGCAAACATATTCTTTTATGTTTATTTTACCAACCATCTTTTGAATCATGAAACTCAGAAAATCGCTAAAACTCTGAATAAAACTAGTAGGAAACAGGTAAAGTTAGACCAAAAGCACTGCCCACGTTAAAGTAACACTTATAACCTTGTATCATATTTACTAACTGATAAAAGGAGTACTGCCGCAACTGTACATTGATTCTGCACATAAAGCAATGTTGTTTTGACTCTGCACTCAAACAACAGAAGTGTTTATTAAGTGCACTTGTTCTATCACTACTTGATGTTTATATTTAAGCATGCTATTCATGCGCATGCAGTAACGTATGATTAAACTACAGATTATTAGTGGCTAAAGTGAACCTTAGTCATTGATGATTAGGATAGTGCAGTCATTTTGAGATACTGTTGTCATGTATATTTTTAAGTATTCACCATGAACCATTCATTTTCCTGTACTAACTATACCAAAGTCTTTTCGATCGTTGAGTTTTAAAATAAAATACTTAGACTTGTTATAAACTAATACGAGGGCCATACTTTAATACTAGTCTAACAATAAGTACATTTTAACACCAGGGCCTAAGCTCATCTAAGGAATAAAGCTAAGCATACGAGGTTGGGAAGTGAACAATTGACGAGAAGATACTTTGTATCTGTGACATTAACTATAAGTTTCGTCTTGCCGTGCCATTTTCTATTCGTCTAGATTCTAGCTCGGTTTTTATTCTACATTAGCTAAGTCTAGGGGGTCACAGCACGATCACTAAAGTCCATTGGTGATTGGCGGGATTTGAACACGGTAACCTGGGTTCCGAAGCTCGGTGCTCTACCATTACCAGCTCGCTCACCAGTGTAGCCTTAGGCTGACTAATTTATGCGATGAAAATAGTTTATAGTTTATATCTTCATAAACTTGTTGCAACTGTGTATTGCCTTGTAGACAAACGCTGTTTCCAAAGTATTCAAAAGTAATTATTTTGCCTTTTTAACGTTTAAACTTCAAATAAAGTCAGCTGCATCATATATTACTCCGCTAACTCAATCAAAAATTCAAATTCAAGTAAATTAAATATTGTTATGTTTTAATTCGTCTAAATATCAATAAAGGGATATTATATAACCAACGTAACACGATAAAACAAATTCAAACAAATTCGAAAACTATTTCATACGATATGAAAATGTCTGTTGTTTTCTAAGAATGTATTATTTTAGGGTGTGATACAACTTTATCGGTTACTGTATCACTTCGACCAGAGAGAGACGGGTTCATTCTTAAGTATATATTCTCCCAAAAAAATTGACTGATCAATTTCTTTTACACGTCTTTGGTTACTTTATTCTTTAAAATGCCCCTGCAGCAGACCAAGAAGGCGGTTATGCAATACTTGTTATACGACGTAAGTTTAAAATTTTAATTTTAAAATCCTATTTATAGTTTTGAACAAGTTTGCCTAACAATGACGAAAGCACGAATATGACATGAGTAGTAGCGCTCCCAGCAAGATAACACGTTGAGTTAGTTAACATTGTTGACATATGTTTAGTATGTCTACTCTTCGTTAAGTGTTGTTTGCATTTGCAGTTGCTGCCAACATCTCGGTATGAATAGCCTAACGTCTTGTTTGGTTTAATATGATATATAGGTAGATGTATATTTATTTGATCACATTATAATGCAATAGATATTGTCAATAATAGTAGAGTATGTTAAGCAATGGTAAAGACACATGCAAGTAAGCTACAGCAAAAAGTCTGCTTGCAAGTTCATTTAACTATGTGATAAATTACAAGCCTTAATAATAATACAGGCAAGCTTACTAGCAATGAAAGTTTTGTTTGTTAGAGCGGAGGGTAGTGTTCCAGAATACATGCACGAGTCTTCTTACGATTTTCCTTAAGATTATTTGGCCTATAAAAAAAAAATTATTTGTGTAACTAGTGTGCGAAGTGGTATTATGCACTCGCGTTACACATAATATTTTCTTACGTCTTTCAACCACTGTACAACACGTTTTTAGGTTAGGTTAAACCCAAACCTTGAACGAAATGGGAAACGCTGCACCATCTGATCGTAGTCGTAATTTATCATTGTTGCCAACTTATTTTCAAGTGTACACGTATTACGTGCCTAATAAAAGGACATGTTTGGTGTTGTTTGATTGGAATACTGGAGTGCTGCAAAAGTAAGTGAATACACCAATTAGCTTCTTGGCGTGCTATAATCAGTGCAAGGAAGCCCACTTTGTCAGGTAACTGTAGGAAAAACCTCTTTGGTAATAATGTCATAATTTACCCTACCACATTTCATGGAATGAGATTCATCTCCGTACCTGCTTCATAATATAGTTAGGCTCATTTCTGACATTTAAACACATTGGAAATTTGCATTTGTCAATTGTAAAATAATAAAAACTCAAGCCTAATAATTATCTGAGGTAAACGCCCGAGATAAATCGTTTGAGAGAAACCCCTTCTGAGATAACAAACATGATTCCCACTCTATTTCCACGCTTACCTTTGTTTAACCATCCAAAAGTTGTTTAAAAACTAGTAGTTCTCCCCATGCCTCGCCACGAGGAGAAAACGCAGAGAAGATATGGTGGATCTTCACCACCATCCAATGCTGCTGGATTATTAGGAGCTTGTTCTTGATGTAAATTAGTTGATCAATGTCCATGTCACAAGCCAAAATGCTCTACAGATAAATATATAAATACAGAACTAATAAGTAAACAATTGAAACAGAATTCAAAGGAATCAAAAGGTTAAGTCAAGGAAAAGTAAACAAACAAACAAACTAAAACAAAAACAAATCCAACAGCTGGTGTGTCTTCAATATGTGGTAAAATGCATGTCTTTAATTGAGGTTCCTGTCTTTAGATGAGGGGTTATCGATAAACTGATATTTTTCGGGTAAGTTTCACATCAAGACCTTTCATTCAAGTAGGTTGATAGGTGTGTGCGGCTTACGGTTTTCTCAAAAGTTCAAATCCATCCTACCTATATATAGATCCAACTTAACCTGTAAAAAAGTGTAACTATGATCATATGTGCGTTACAGCTGTTTGTTTGTATGATTGTTTGTACGTCATAATCCCAAGTGTTCGTGAACTACATACATAGCAAGGAGAAGGGCTTAACCGGTGTGAACCGCTTTTCGAACCCGAGACCCAACTTTGATCACCTCCCTCAGTCTTCTCTAGGTACTCGACGTTGCGGGTGACAAGGTTCGATCCTCGACGGTCGCAACAAAGCCACAATTTAGTTTATAGAGGTAGTTTTAGGATAAATTATAACCAAAATAGTTTAAAATAAGAGGATTTTATTTTCCAGGAGCTGTAGACTTCGAGGGGATCTTTCTCACCTTCGGAAATGGGTATTGAAGAAACATCGCACGAGCTGTAAGTTGTTTTATATTTATACACTTTGATGGTGGAATAGGTATTTTTGGAATATAAAATATATAAAAACCATATTATTGTTTATGGAGTCTTTTTAGGTACGATTTCGTGTTAGAAACATCTTCGTATTGAGATCGAGCAACATTAACTGTGGAATATTGGTCATAATATTACACAAATTTTCACAAATAGGACAACATTATACATACCATAAAGTAAAAATTTCATTTCAAATCTATGCTAAATTACGGTTTTTGAGATGATTTTCTAGTCTAATATTTTAATAGTTTTGCTACCCTTGAGAGCATATTTAAATTAAAAGGTTCAATTTGTAAATGCAGTTGATCACTATAAATTAGTCCATCCGCGTTATGATCGAATCACCATCGATTCAATTTGGAACTTTTTATAACGTTCTTCATCTATTTGTACTCATACCATATTTTTTAGATTCTATATTTTGTTTAGTTAGTTGTTTAGCTAACAGATTTTAACAAACAAACAAAACTAGAAATTATTATTGATTTCTTTTATAATTCGTTCCTTTTAGGTTCGTTCGTTGTTATTTTCGTGACGGTGATACTAAATTAATCCAGAACTGAAATATGAAAAAAGTGATTAAATATTTGTTTTTCTCTATCACATAAAGGTTGATATTAACTTAAGAGTTTACTAAGTAACGACGTTGCACTTCTTTAAAAAATGTCACATAAAAATTAAATTCATACGTACGGTTATAAATAAGTTTCAAAATGTACTCGATGTATTTATACTCATAATGGACGGTAATTACAGAAAAGAACAACATAAAACGATAAATTGAAAGTCACGATTGCAATTGATTTCAATTGAACAAACATGTCGGTCGAAATTAATAGCCTTATTATCATATTACGTATATTTAATTTATATAAATACACACACGTTTACAGTTTAGGTGTAAATGTATCAAAATGATTAGAAAAACACGTTTTACCGACTCTATTTAATATCTTCAACGAGTAAAATGCTACTAAATGAATTTCTTAACCATACTATTTTACAATGTTCAAAGTAAAGTTATTAGCTAATTATAATGCATTTATAGAATGGTTAAACGCTACGAGATGTTCGATTAGTATAGAACACGTTATGCATTACAAGCTATTAATCTTTATTGCCAATATCTTGGATCAATCCGCGAACCCGGAATCGAGCTTGCCTTGTATGTATATAATTGGTCGTGGGCGTGCTTCGTAGACGCGTAATAAAATAGCACCCACGGGGATTGTTGATACGAGCGATTGTTGTAGACCTTTTATAATACGCGACCTTGAAGGATAAACATAACCTACAAGTCTTTGAATATTAAAATAACAAAAGCTAATAGATCGATTAAATTACAAAAACTTAGAAGATTACAGTTTTGAATATTGTATGACTATAATTAATATAAATATGACAAAAAGTAGTTCTTAGAGCCAAATTGTAAATATTGAAGCAGGCTATTTATGGAGTTTTGCTTAGAGTGAAATTACAATTCCAAGAAAGTTTGTAAATATTTGCACCAGAAAGACGGTACCTATTCACAATGCTATAAGCATATTCTGTGTACTTTGTTCAGTTTATATACTTATTGTGGAATATACGTTTATTGTTAAAAATTTAAACCGAAATGTGTCAAATAACAAGTTAATGTGTTTTTAGGTTATAATAGTTTTAAAACTATGTTATTAAAATACAATATTTCACGTAAGCCTTGTTCAGCTGTTACCAATATGAATCCAATACAACCAACATGACAAAATATTTTAATTTAATTAAATTGAAGCAGTTAAATGTAATATGTATTCAAATTTAAAAACTTGTATGTACACGAAAATATTCTATAAATTTTTATATTTGGCTTGGACGAAATATCACTCCATTTAGCTGAATGTGGAAGGAGGTAATTCGTAGTATTGAACGCATCAATGCTCTTCATATTTCCCAAATTACTACAACCTATTGAACCTGACTATAGACTACTCTTAGACACAATTTCTTTCATAGTTTAGAGATACTTTTGGAAATTTTTCTCAAATCATTTAAGTTATAAAGAAGAGGTTCATAGCACAAAACTTCATTAAATCGGCATTTCATATTTCAACAATTTGATACTTTTTTATAAATATTAATGCATCACATTTACATATTCATTTGGTAGGGCGCTATACCTTCAAGATCCTTGTTTAGATGAAATGAAACCGGTTCTCTGAATGTGTTAGAGTATTCTCTCCTGGTTTATTTTTGGTTTGACTATTTCCAAGGTTAGTAATTAGTGTTGAAAGACAAATGTACAGCAATCATTTAGATATTCTGAAATATATGAATCATTACATGCGTATTTATTAAATAAATGTTTGCCATTAAGTTTTCCAACGAGTATCAAAAAATCTCCATAGTTTTGTACCGTAAAACAGTTCTAGAACAAATTTAGAAATTCATAAATAGTATGAAATTAATAATAATGGCTTCTTATCTAGTCGTTGGAAGTAATAATTTGTAACAGTAACTTAAACGACAACTAGTTGGTTCTTAGGAAGCTGCTTAAAAACCACACTGAGTTAAAAAAATATGAATTACCGTACGACTGAATATGTCATAAGGTAAAGAGAAAACAATATTTGACAGCTACATTGATATAGACAACTTACATTATGTTCTTCATTAAATTTCTATGTGTACTTGGATGTTTATTTTATTAGCAGTTATTACTTATTACACACAGATAATTTTCATCCTGTAGCATGAATATAACTTGTTAAGTAATTTGTCATATGATTTAAACCTTATCTGTGTCCCTACACTACAGAGTGAACCCACCAGAAAGAAGTAATTACATTAAAAATTTAGTAATAATTTAATTTAAAAGTCCAATTTATTAAATGAGCTCTGTTTAAAAGGTGAAATTTTAATTTGTAATACGACCGGGACACGCTAAACCAAAATTATAAATCTTTAAATCATTCTCATGCACTTAAATATTTCTTATGTTTTATCATTACTATTTTATTATATTGTCAATTATTGATATTGTATGGTATGATTAATCTATGACACAAGTTTATCAACATTATTTAATTATATTTATGGAAGAAAAATAAAAGTTTATTTTATTGAGCCCAACTGAAAAGACGATTCCAATAATAACATTTGACCAAAGAACTAAATTAAATTAGAACAGTCATAATGATTTTGTAGTTTCTATTACAAAAGAAAATTCAATTGAATACCCAAATTACAACTCAATTGGAGCTATACGTGGAGTTTCAGTTCGATTAACTTTATTTAAACAGGTACCAATATTCGTTCTGATCCACAGTGTACCATTTAAGAAATAACTATTCGTGTGAGGAGCGAATGAAAAAGTTGTGAGGATCACAAAAAGGGCTGTCCTTGCGCTAATTCGTCTCGATTTCTCATTCAAAAACTTGTAACCCCGAATTCCATTTTATCTAAACAGATATACTTTACTTCTAGATAAATAAATGCTCTGTTTTAATGTGTATGTTTAAATAGATGTACCTCTAGACCATATTTATGCCAAAATATCAAAATCATTGTCATATAAAAGCCCATGTAAGAAAAGTTTAAAGAAACGTTCATTTCTTGCTTGAAAGAACGTCAATCCGGTTTGTAATCACGAACTAAATTGTTAAGTTTTTTTAATGTCCTTAAACATTTATTTATGAGATACATTATCTTCTAAAGATCATGGAGTTCATAGAGTTAGTTCTCTTTTTGAAGACGCGTCAATTAGAGCATTCGTCTAAGGGAACACGGTTATTTAGACGTTCTGCGTAGCCTAAATTCTGTCGAATAGATATCGATAGGAAGATTTAAAATGGAACCTTATTGATTGTTAATATAGTAGGAATTTAAAAAAATCCCTTTGCTTTGGTGGGTACCCTCCCCCCCAACAAGATAGTTTTCCTAGTAGAATTTCCTTTATCTATATGTGTCTCTCAGCAGTGACCTGGAGGCCCAATGTCTACGTAGGTTTAGCCTCTTGAACTCTCCGACTCCAGTTGATCCTGTATGTTGGACGCCGCTTTATCTTTTCTGCAGAACGGCGGACGACCCTAACCTAACCTTCACTGGCCGGTTGTAACCGGTCCTCGCTGAAGCTTCGTCATTATACAATACATAAGGTGGGCGTTCCACATCTACCAACTGGTTCCTCCCCGCGAACTCTCGCTGATGAGCAAAGCGTTCTAGTCTGAGAAAACCATTGAATATATTATATTCAATGTTATAATCTAGAAACAGAGCTTGTCAAGAACAATCTTAACCATTTGTGGTAAGGAAAATTATTGAGGGGTTTGAAATTTCCAGAATCAGTAGGGGGGGATGTCTTAGGGTTCTTCGAGATATCTGTTCAGAAAAGTCTTTAACTGGCTGGAAACAATTGAGCATTTAAACACGGTGATGAATTCAAGAAAATAGTTGTAATAGTTAAGATCAAACTATACGGTAAAATAATGCATACTTGAAATAATTAGAGGGAAAACATAGCTTCTAGTTTTAGAAAAATTAAATGTTAATCTTTCAATCATCATGGTAGTCCCACTCATCATCATGACCAGGGCTTCGCCCAGATATTATAGATCCTGACTTTTAGTAGATACAACCCGAGTGAATAGTCTGATGGTACTATCTACATTATATTTTCAATTGCCCATCATAAACTGTAATGTTCACTTTAACAATTTTAATATAATTAAATGCGCTTGACATAATTGTTTGCCAAGGTCACGATTTTTTTTTTTTTTTAATTAAGACAATTAACCCATTAGTAAACCCTCATTAATCCTAACCATATTAATATGTGTTGGTTGACCCAAACTCCCATTAACAGTTGTTTGCAAAATTTGTACACATCTGCGTTAGGCCAGAGTAAATTAAGCATTTTGATGAACAGAGTTACAGGATTACTGAATTTCAGAAACTTTATATAAGCTTTAACAAGCAGAAAGAAT